GGCACTTCCAACTTTATATATTACCGGCCTCCAAGACGTTATAACAGACTGCGCACGGCACGACCAGCCTACTAAGACCAATGAAAAAGAAAAAGAAGTCGCTCAACATCTAGAAGAAGAAGAAGCTGCTGTCCTTCATTCATCCCCCTGAAGAAGAAACGAACGGTTTCGAAACGTAGGGTCGCTACTATTTCAATTTTTGGTTGGCGGATTATCTTATCTCTTTAATACGTAGCCTTGAGCGTATATTCTTGACAGCAACCTGCTCCAGTTCTGTCTGCTTTCTCTTGACATAGGCAGGCCTGTCCCGACTTCTTACGACGCTTGGTTGTCACAGCGGCGACACATCTGTAGGTAGTATGCTGCGATTTAGATCTTCAATTGCTTCTTCAGCTGGCACAAATATGTCAGGGCACTGCTCTGAGCTTCGCATCGAGATCTCCTTAGTGATGTGCATGAAGCAATGGTAGCACAGGTAGTCCGTCGCACTCACTTTGGAGGAACAGTCAGGCGGAAGAATTTGCTTCAACGAGTTTAGGTCCAACTCGCCAACACTTCGAATATTCCGCTGCTTTGGTATAGTCTTTTTGTGTTTGCAAAAGTAATCTGCACAAAACACTCGTTCGGAGCTCCAGGACGTCTTCATAATGTATACATAAATAATAGAAATTAAACCCCAACTGATGGCATATAATTGCCAAGTGAAAGAACTACTGGGTGCACAAGTGACAAGTCCGAGGCTGAGGAGCTCACTCACTGCAAACGTACATTTGAAAAGAGAGGTCACAACTGAGGCTGTCGGCAAAGCTTGATCCACGTCAAAGGAAGAAAGAGGGAAAGTCTCCAGACAAAAAATTGTGGTCAGCGGCCTTCGAAAAAGACTTTCCGGAATCGCACTGTCGTCCCTCCACGCGCTGATATGAAAGCACCCGAGCTTCTACCACGTGGTTCATGACACAGCCTGAGCCATGTCGGCGACCGGTTCGCGAGGGGTTGGCGGTGGGGTTACGTTGATGGTCACTCGGATTAGCCCTTGCTGTACTGAGCTACCGCCTGCAGTGCCTTATCGCCGGCTGGTGTCAACAACGAGAACACACACACCCTGTCTACACCAAAACTACAAGCGTTCACCGCACACGCCTCCCCGCCGCTTTTAAGCTTTTGTGAAATTGCTTTCTTTTGCCCCGGAGAACCGCCTTATCTTAACTACGCGCCTGAAATCCTTCCAGGCGGGCGTACACAATATCAAGCGTTTCGAGAAATGCCCGTGGAGTAGAACTATGGAAAAATTCGGAGCCCGCGATGTCGATATCGTCGCCGTTGTGTTAGTACGCCGTCGCGTACTGCAGTCCCCCGTTGGGGGAGGGGGGGGGGGGCGGTCTTACTACGATAACATGGCGACAGCGTTTACACACTATGTATTTACGCGAGGCTCGAGTATTTGGGGATAATGCTGCCGGTTGGTGTGCCCCTTTGTGCCTGATATTATCGCCCGTGACGCCAGCGAGTGAGATGGCGACAGGCATGACCGCTCTGTAAACAGGCGTCGGCGGCCATGTTTTGCTGGTGGAAGCGAACCCCCTTGTCCTTGACAGCGAGCGGGGAAATGCGAAAAAAAGATTGTATCGGCCGTTTTGCCAGAACTAGCGAAGAGTGTCGTCTGCGGTTTCCGGCAACTATTTTGCCATAATCGTGAGCTTAGCGAGGAAATGATTTTTGCTAGCCACAGAACACTACCACGCAGAAAGGGAATGCTTGAACATGTTTTTGTTCTGGATATATATCAGGGATATATATGAGAGAGAGAGAGAGAGAGAGATGAAGGTAGAGCGGAAGAGGGAATAGCATATAGTGTCGCAGGAGAATAAAGTAAACAAAGTTCCAAGTGGCCGATGGCTGCATGATCTTTTCTCGGATCACTAGTCCGTAATATGATACCTCTTTGTACACAGTAGTTTCTCCTTAATTTAAGTGTGTGAACGATTTCTTTAGTTATCATTGGCCTCATCTGAATAAAAATATATAAAAGATGTGTGTTGGTTTCATGAAACTGGAACTCAGAGTCAGTTCTTGTATAAAACACTGCTAAGTGTAGGCTTTGAAAAAGGACCCTACTTTGGGGAGTTGTATCTTCTTTCTCAATAAACTGATGCAACATGTTTTTAATGGAAATGAATGCCGAAATAGAGTATAACAGGTTACCTAAATTTAAAAAAAATGGAGGGTGGTGTTTTTTTTTTATTCGCATCGGAATTTTTCTTTGTTTGATTTTTTTTTTCATGTTTGACTAAATATATTCTAACTATTGTATCACACAGATACCTTAGTTATTTTTTAAATATTAGCTATATATTAGTAGAATAATATCTCCAAATTATATCATAGTGATCAAATTATTTCATGAGATACAGACCTCCAAAGTTTGCCATTTGTCGTTCGAGCAGGCATGTTTGTCAATTTTTAGAAAAATAAATAAATTTTAAATAAATATGATTACTTTATATTACAAGCAAGCTATAGCCATAGTTTTCGCCTAAAACGTATTAGAGGTCTCCTAATGTTATCGCTTTAGTTATTCACTCTCAAACGGGCCCCCTCCATCAGTGCGCGTTAATGCAACTGTCCACCACCTCATGCCTTACGATTTTTCCTGTCCCCAAGTATTTTTTCTAGTCAAAACTAAGTTTGGATTCGTTCATACCAGACACTAGACAATAACATATAAAAACATCAGTTGATTTGAAAATGTCGACTAGCCATCCTTTGGTCGATCTTATCTGAAATCACCCATATATATATATATATATATATGAACGGATATGTGCAGATGAATGAACCGTACTTAATCCAATGAATCAAAGAATCAAAGTTTCCAGGAACCCGCCGAAAGCCAAAAATTGGCGGAGCCAGTTTTTGGCTTTCGTACGTGGTCTCCTCGGAGACCACGTACGATGACGTGAAGTGCCCGTGTTGTGTATATATATATATATATATATATATATATATATATATATATATATATATATATACGGAGAGAGAGAGAGAGAGAGAGGCAGAGAGAGAACAGCACTTGGGAGGAAAAGAGGACACTCGACAGCAATATGTTAAAAAAAATAATTGCCCTTAAGGAAGAGATGGACGTCAAAAAGCAAGTGGATGGTCGTCAATAAGTATACAGAAAAAAAACGGTTCGAGCCTGGTAGGCCCTTCGTCAGACTTTGAATGAACACTTCGTTTTCTTTTTCTTTCCATCAAAGCAAAAACGGCCGCAAAGAAGAAGTAATTGGAAAAATGCTTACCGGTTAGCGGGTATGTATACTAATTTCTCGCGTAAAAGTCTACTATATCCCGACCAAAAAGCTGTAAATAGTATTGAAATATATATATATATATATACATATATATATATATACAGGGTGATACAAGGAGACGCCAGGCTCTTTAAATCGACTGGAAAATTCGGTTTCTTAACCTATCGCGCTACGACTTTGTGCAGCGTTGCCCACAGATGGTGCATTTTTTTGTAAAATTTGCAAAGAGCGAACTTACTTCAGGAAAAAGTACAGAAAGAAAAAGGCTTAGCTCTTATGGAAACGCAGCGAAGCCACCGATCTGCAAACAACACGGAGCCGTTTCGCATGGGAGACAAGAGATGGCGCAAGCGGTCGCGACGCCAGCTGCCGCCAACGAACGAGCAGACGACGCCGAGAGCCGGCATATTTAGCAGACAAGGAACTGCAGTTCCTTGTTGTTACCGCGCCTGTTTTTATTTCTGCGACTGTCGCCGCCTGCGGAACGTGCGCCGCTTTTGAGTCGAAAAGATTGTCTGCTAAAGACACTGGCTCTCGGCGCCGTATGCTGGTTCGTTGGCGGCGTTCGTTGCGCCATCTCTTGTCTCCCGTGCGAAGCGGCGCCGTGTTGTTTGAAGACCGGTGGCTTCGTTGTGTTTCCGTAGGAGCTAAGCCTTTTTCTTTCTTTACTTTTTCCTCAGGTAAGTTCGCTTTTTGCAAATTTTACAAAAAAAAAATGCGTCATCTGTGGGCAACGCTGCACAAAGTCGTAGCGCGATAGGTTAAGAAACTGAATTTTCCGGTCGATTTAAAGAGCCTGGCGTCTCCTTGTATCACCCCGTATATAAAAAGCCCAGTTTTATATCTGTATATATATAAGAATGTTGCGCTTTCTTATTCATGTAGAAAAAAGTAAATAAGTTAAGACACTGATCTCTTATGCCTGTGTCCCACTAGAGCGACAGACAGAAACAAAAGACAGCGACAAGCCTCAAACCTAGGGCCTTCATGAGCGCTTTGCTTGGGGTGATGACATGTGGCCATTTTGTTTCGAACGCTTATTTTTATTTTTTGTTCTGAAGCGCGTGAAAGAGCGTGTCCCTCCACACGCTCGTGGCGCTGACTCTGTTACGGCGACATTTTGTTTCCTGCGATTTCTTTGTAGTTTCCCTGTGAGCGCGTGCTGTCGGCATCGGGTACTACAAACGATGGCATCACCCTAAACAGAAGGGCATTGAGGCACACTACTCAAACCCATGCAGCATGCTCGCGATGGTACCTTCGGCAGGCGTTTAATTGTTCGGTGCTCGTGAAGTAAGCACGAGCGATTGCAAGTCTGCCGAAGATACCCTCGCGGGCATGATGATCGTGTTTGAGCATAGCCTCCTTTACTCTACAGAGCCTCTCAACTCGCGAAAGATTCTGGTTTAAGGCTTGCGGCTGTCGTTTGTTTCTGTCTGTCGCTCTAGTGGGACACGGGCATTACGAGTGCAGGACATAGACGGACATCCGACAAACACTGCTCAGTGCCAAATGCCTTATTCGCAAACACTTCTTATACTTGATCTTCGCCAGCCGGCGACGTGAACAAAGTATACCGTCAAGGCTATTCGGGTCCTCAAAAGCTTTGTTTAGTCGGTGCGCAGTGTAGGTTGTTGGTTTCCGCAGTGATAGTGAGCCATTAACGGGAAGGGGTTTTTCAGTACTTACGAGAATCAGGTCCGCAGGCAATGGAATGGCGGTAACCCTCTTGAGCCTCCGGCCAAATACAAACTTGGATACTCCCAGCAGGACGAACGCAACCAGGGACATCGACGTTGTGACCACGTTGCTTGAAAGGATGTTCGCCATCAGGCTGTACAGGCTCTGTCGCACGCATGGAGATGACGAAGCAGTTCAGGAATCAATCTGCCTGCGTGCCTGGCGGTTCTGGAGTTGATAGTAACTAAGGCACTATGGCCAGAGTTACCATGACCAGGGTAAGACTCACCAGAACTGTGCCGAAGACGCCCTTGGATGACTGGTAGGAAGCGTCGAAGACGGACGGTACTTGAGTGGCGACTACTGTGAAAGCAGCTCCGGCCAGGAAGCCTTCGGCCATGATGGGAGAGATGACGACGGATAGCCTGTCCAGGCGCAGTAGCCACAGAGCGATCTGAAAGAGCAGATCAAAACATATGAAATATGAGAAGAATACGAACAGTGATTTGAAAATAGTTGTGTTGTAAGCCTCCTGTATAATAAAGAAATGGCTTGGTCTTCCCTTAGACTGAGGTTATGATCGACGGACCGCCAGTAGGTTATAATCACTTTGCTCAAACCTCTATCAACAACCGATCGTCATATTTATGGTATCATATGTTATTGGCAACTTATTAGCGCAGAAAGAGTAAGTCTGGCCCACCTGGATCAGCCCACTCATCATCGTGACAGTGATGGCCACACCGGCCGGGGAATCTCCGAAGTCGGGATAACTCTCGTTGCCAACCGTTGTGTTGCTTTGGACCCCGAACGTCTTGACAGCGTTGGCCGTCATCAGTGCCGTCACCGCGAACATCCCTGCGACGTACATGCCAAAATACGTCCACGTCAACTGCGTCTGGACACGAACATTGCATCTTCGCCATTCGCTTGGGACGCTTCCGTTGGCACAGTGCCCCATAACCGAAAGAAGCACCATGTCTTTTTTCACTCCCTTTCCAGTATTGACTGTAAAACGTTCGTATGACTTCCACGAATTGCCACTATATATATAGTCCTTTGCGGGCCTTACAGATAGCCTTCCACGCTCTTCAGCAGAGCGAACTCTGGAGAGGAGGTGAGAGGAGAAACCCCCAATCATAGTGAGCAGAGAACTTAATGGAAGGTGTCTGTCCTGCTATGCTTAACTACGACAGCTTCGGCAACAATGCACGTGGCGGGTTCCCAGTCTTACTATGGCTCCGCGGCCATTGCGATTGCAGCATCAGCTGATAAGAACGCCGGAAGAACAAATCAGGAAGCAAGAACATTGAACGTCCGTTTCTTAAACCGTCAGGAACTATACTGTTACACGCGCTTAAGTTCTTTACTAAAGAACCTTCGATATATATACATATATATTTTTTTTTTGGTTTCACGATTTTTGTGTATTTTCTCACGCAAGTTTTTGCTGCAGTTAGAGTACAACTGGGGTCAGCTCATTGTTGCTGACTGTGAAAAGGCACTTTAAAGAAAAAGTTCTCATAAATTTGCCTTTTCTTATAAGGAAAGGCAAACATAAGAGAACTGTAAAAATACTCATGAGAAAATATTCCTCGGGCGCTTCAGGTATACTTGAAGCACCCTAGGAAAATTTATTCGAAATTATTTTTTTATATGCCAGGAGGACTCTCAAGAGCCATTCAGAACAACGTGTTCCCCATGCATAAAAACCCGCGACGAAAAGAGAGCGCCGCACGCTCTCTCTTCGAACCTACTTTATTACGCTTTTGTTTAATTTATTCATGCTTAAAACACAAACTGAAACAATAACTTGGGACGGCGGTTTTCAAACCTGGAGGGATTTCGCGTACAACAGTGAAATTGCGAGCCACATATGTAAAATGGGAGAACCGTTTCTCGGTAGTTCAATTTGCGTCAAATTCAGAGTTATTCATTAATTGCATAAAGCCGATGAACAAATTTAAGATAATTACCGTTGCAAATATTTTATTCGAACGCAAAAATCTGCAGGTAAAAGGCTACAGGCATTTGTAGTACTTAGAACAACTTGCGACTCGAGAAAACAACTAGGCATCTAGTTAGACCAACCATTGATATCATACCCAGTGTTCCAGCGCGTTCGAACACCGAGTTGAGACCAAGGCTTTGCGTCCCATTCTTCCCAACCAGAGCTCGGCGTTTTCACGTCCCCGCGCCCTCTTATGTCCTCCTCTCTTTCAATTTCTACTGGCCTACCCTAATCTGCGCTGTGTTGACATTCGAATAACATGCAGCAGTACTCTCGGCAACTAACTTATCGTAGCGAAAAAAAAAAGTGAAAGCCGTTTACAACTCCCTGTAACACCGAATTAGAGCGCAGCTCTTCAGGAGGAGGAGGGAAGGGTACTAGGGGGGGGGGGGGTGAAGTGACCTGGGGGGTCACGTGACCTTAGGGGTCACGTGACGATGCCGATGATGTCATCAGTGACGATGACGATGCGGACTCCGATGACGTCATCAGCGATGATGACGATGACGATGCGGATGTCGGTGACGTCATCAGTGACGTCACTGATGACGTCATTCGTGATGATGACGATGACGATGCGGATGCCGGTGGCGTCATCAATGACGTCACTCATGACGTCATCAGTGATGATGACGATGTGGATGCCGGTGAGGTCATCAGTGACGTCACTGATGACGTCATCAGTGACGATGACGTCATCGGGGAGGTCACGTGACCTCGGCGGGGGCCTTGGGGGAGGGGTTCACGTTACCCTGAGGGGGGTCACGTGAGCTCGGAGTGGTCACGTGACCTCAGGGTGGTCAAGTGACCTCGGGCGTCACTTGACTTTGGGTGTCACGTGACCTTGTGGGCGACGTGACCCTAGGGGAGGGGTCACGTGACCTCCGGGAGCACGTGACCTCGGGGGGTCACGTGACTTTGGGTGTCACGTGACCTTGGGGTGAGCTTGGGGGTCACGTGACTTTGGGTGTCACGTGACCTTGGGGTGACCTTGGGGTCACGTGACCTTGGGGTGACCTTGGGGGTCGCGTGACCTTGGGGTGACCTTGGTTACGCCGACGGCGACGCCGACGCCGCTCAAGCCGGGAACGGGCCCCTAAGAGCTGCGCTCTAAAAAAAGTGAAAGCCGTTTACAACTCCCTGTAACGCCGAATTAGAGCGCAGCTCTTGAGGTTTAGGGTAGGGTGCTGGGGGGTGGGTCAAGTGACCTCGGGGGGGGGGGGGGGGGGGGTTACGTGACCTGGGGGTCACGTGACGATGCCGATGCCGATGACGTCATCAGTCACTGATGACGTAATCAGTGACGATGACGATGCGGATACCGATGACGTCATCAGTGACGTCACTGATGACGTCATCAGTGATGATGACGATAACGATGCGGATGCCGGTGACGTCATCAATGACGTCACTGATGACGTCATCAATGGCGATGACGTCATCGGGGGTCACGTGAGCTCAGGGGAGTCACGTGACCTCGGATAAAGGGGAGGGGGGTCACCCCCCTCCCCGAGGTCACGTGACCCCCCAGGTCAAATGTCCCATAATGCACCGGCTCGCGCGGTGCATTATGGGACATTTCCCATAATGCACCGCGTGGTTACGCCGACGGCGACGGCGACGCCGCTCAAGCCGGAAACGGGCCCCTAAGAGCGTCGCTCTAAAAAAAAAGGAAAGGACGGCGTTTATTTTTGTGAAAGTATGTCACCTGAAACAAATACACAATTTGCTCTAGAAAAAAAAAACACAAAATTAAGTCGATGTGTTTTTTTTACAAGGCGTCAAAAGAGCTGTGTTTCTTCGTTTTTTTTTCGTTTTTTTTAACACTAAATCTTTAAGATGAATGCCTTCTGTCATTCTGTTCCTTTCTCTCCCACTTTGGATTCTTCCCGAACGCCACCCTGTCCCAGCTTGTTTAGAAAAATGGTAAATCTACACCAGCTCGCCTTCGTCATCACTGATTTATCACTAAAATGCCAGCAGTACACTCAACGGTGCAGTCCGTTCGGCGTCACCGATTTGGAATGTCCTACGCACGTTGTATATACGTACCCATGGAGATGTAGGGCGACGAGCCCAGCAGCACGTAGACAAGGGCCGGGTACAGAGAACTGTACAGGCCGTACACGGGACCCACGCCGGAGATGATGGCTGACACCATGCCTAGGGCGAACAGCTAAATGTATGATGAACTCTTGCGCAAATCAATCAATCAATCGTATTTATACAAAAACAGATGCCGGAGGCCTATATAAAAAGCTAACGGTTTTCGGCTTAAAAAAAGAAACTGGTCACTCGCTCTCGGGGCATATTTAGGAACCTGTTTCTGGGATCTTCACAGTGTTTTATCGTCACGTCAAAATTTTAGAAAGACATTGATGATCACCATGTCGGTTTGAAAAGAAGGCTGTCGTATAATTGTGTTGCGTGTATGTTTGTACAGCCTTAAGTTAGTCCCGATGGACATCTGGTGTCTTAGCTGTAGATTAGCAATCTGGCCAGAGCAGTATAACCGCTAGCCTGGGACCTTTAACGTGCACCACGCAGTAGTGATACACGACCGCACGCCGGTACGATGCTTGTCCAGATTGAAACGGGCAGGAGTGGCGACTGAACCCAAGATCCCTGGGTTCCGCAACGCGGGCTTTCGATCCATGTGCTCCGAGCTGGTGTGCGCTAGCCCTGTCGGCCACCGATGCCCCGAAACTGTCATGTAAATAAAATTGAAGCTGTGTTTCGGAATTCGTTGTGCTTGTCCTCTTCTGGTATTTTCTTGTCTCGATGTTTCCCAGTATTACCGTAAACAAGCTCGCCTGTGCCTTCTCTCACTTTAGTAAAACATCTTTTTGTTTTTGTTTCTACTTTTGATTGTCATTAACTGGTGACACAACAACACGTTTCTCAACACGCGGTACGGAGGAAGGTTGCTTAAATCGTACAACAAATTTTTTTCGTTTTTTTTTTTTTTTTTTTTCCAATTAAAGTTGATGTGTTTCTCTTTAACGAGACCAGGCCATTCAGAAAATGTCGGCAACGCCAGCCTGAGGTTTCCCAAGAGATTTCTTTTTCTGAACAGCTTCCGTCACATTCCTCTATTGTACGCGTACGGTGTTGTCACTCCCAGAGATCAACAAGTCCTAAGCTTCGTTCCATGACAGTGCCGCGGCACTGAAATCGATGGCTACAATATGGCGCTCTACGAGGTAAAATAATACACCAGCGGGCAAGCCTGGCACAGCCCGCTCTCGAGCGGGAAAGAACTGGCTAGCATTCTCCGCTTGTGAACTGTGTATACTAGGGACTACTGGGTTTTCAAAGCCAAAGCAACACTATCCATTGCTTACCAATCTCGCGTAATTCACTGGCAGTGCAATGCTCATATTTGTAAATGTTACGTTTTTGTGTTCTTTTTTTATGCGGCGTCAATATAGCCGACATCAACCTACCGAATCGATCCTTATGCTCAAGCGGACGCGATGGAAGCTCTGGTACTGACAAGATAATGAATGGCGTCTCTTTCGAAAGCCTCCACCGCGCGCTCGCTGCCGTCCGTAGTGCTTTGGCTGCTGCTGCACGTTTAAGGCTGCGGTACCACGGCGGCCATCTTGAACAAAACATTAGTTGAACCACCAGGGCGGCGTTGGCTGTCCGTATGAGCAAATGCTGCGAAACCTGCGCGCCAATTTCGAAACCCTTTTTCCCGTCGCTTGCGACCTTGAGTTTCCTTCTCCACTCTTACGCCCCTCCTTTCACGTGTTCACCCTCTGGCGCGTCGCGCCCACGTTCATTGTTGGGAGGACAATGTACCGGATAATCCCCAACTTGAGGCCCCCTGCCAAAATTGTCCGGCTGCAGTGTTGCCAGATTGGGCTATATATAGCCAAATTGGGCTACATTTTTTTCTAGTTGGCGTCAAAATTTCGCGTTTGGCTATGTGGCTATTTTTGGGCTATATCTAAGGGTGCGGCGAACTCTTGACGAACCTCCGGTTCGACGTCGAACTTTAAGGTTCGATTAGTTAATTTTCAAACTTCTAGTCAGTTTCGAAAAAAAAATTGCTTATCTTTTGGCTAGTTGAGAGGAGAGAGAGGAAGGAGGATGGCTTCAAACTTCTACAAACGTCGGGGTTTTCACAATGCGCAGAGAAGCAATGCTAGCAGAGTTCAAGCGGTCTCCCCACAGCGCAGTGAAGCAAATCAAACAAACAAATTGCACTGTTTTTACAGGTCCAGTAGCGCGTCTTCTACCCGGACGTAGACTGAACCCTCCAAACGCAGCTTTGGTGCCCATTGCGAAAATTCTTAGGCATCGCCAACTTTAAGAAATGAAACACAATCAAAAATAGCGTGTACCGGAACGGGGGACGCTCATATTCTACACAAAGAAAAATAGACGGGTGGGTTATTGGTAAGAACCTTAGATATAAGGGGTGCTGGTTTGAAACTCCCAGTTCTGGCACTTCTGCTCCTGCATTCTGTTCTTTTACTGTATGGTTATAACTCCCGGGCCTCAGAATACAGCTGTCCATGTATGTTTTCTATTTCTGAAATCCTACAAAGGATGGGTAATTAATTGTTTCAGAAATTTTCATCCTTCTGAAGCATTTTTTTTTATATATCAGGGGACCTAATGCACACAAAAAGTGGCGCATCAGAGGGTTGAAAAAGAGAATTTAACATGTTGTTTTTTGCGCGTATGAAAAATTGTCAATAAAAGGCTTAAGAATCGTTCTTTTTAGTCTTGGCTATTTTGGGCTATATTTATTTTATGGCTTTGGCTATATTTGGGCTATACCTCCCAGCCGTTTGGCGGTTTTTTGGTGGGACCATCTGGCAACACTGTCCGGCTGCCAAGTGATTTGAGCGAGATGGGGTTTTGAAGCGGTATGGAAAAGTGGGACCGTCAATTTTGAACTATGCCTTTTCGATACTGCATAAGTTGTGTACGGGGCTGGCCAAGGCACGGGCGCGAGGACGTAACTGTATACAATGCTTGGGTTGCAGGAGCACTCGCGCGTAGAAATGGTAGGACGCGCTTTCTGAAATCACACGCCTACATTCCGCAGCGTTGCAATCCTACGAGTAAAACAGAGTACATCTTCGGACAGTGCGTGAGTTGATGCCGGCCGTACGAAAGACACACCTCGCGCTTCCTGTCACTACTGCCTCTGCTTGCACGCGCTGCCGATTGGCGGTCCTTTCTTTATTTTGTTTCGTCGCTCTTTTGAAAATACTGAAACTAATATTTTCTCAGACCCTGCTCATCGTACCTCTGCACTACAGTTGTGTAAACACGTTGTGATGTAATTTGAGATATGGGACGGAGTGTCTACATTCTTATTTCGTGTGTAATGCCGGCATAATATTCCTTTGCTGCCAGAGGGTCAAAATAATGGTAGGGTCGGCAGCAAAAACTATTTCAATGACCGAATTATGATCAAACACCAGTAAGAACATAAAAAAGAAATCACATGGGGACAATAAAAATATTGCTACAAGAGGATGGTGCGTGGGGCACAAACAATATTCGGAGTGACGTTGAGGGAACGCGACAAGCCAGATCTTTCCTAATGGCAGCCGTAAAAGTTGATCTGGTGCCTCGTTTTGATCGGCTTTGCACGGAAACTCGTAAACTACCGACTATCTTGTCAGTGGTGAACATAGTGAGCATGAACTGGATGATTTTTTTGTTGTTTTTGTTTCTGTAGTTAAATGAGAGTATGGAAATATGAGACGTCCGCTGACGCTTGCGTCGGCTAACGGAACCTCAATCGCCGATCGCGGCCGATGTCATGGGCGTATACAAATACATCAAGTCGTCTGGGCGGGAGCAGTTGAAGCGCCGCACTTTTTTGGCTGGTCAGTAGAGACCCCGCGAATTCTGACTCGAGGCTACTCTGTGCGGAGGGAGCCGCTACTGAGCGCGACCAATCGGAAACCAAGGATGGCTGAAATTTCCTAATTGCCATGAGATTTGCAAATTCGTTCTTCCCGCCGTAGTAAATTCGTCCGAATCGCTATTCGATTTACTAATCGATTATTTGGATGAAAAGATATATTTCAAAATTCGTACGTGGCTCACCAAATGGCAATAAAATTGGTATAGGATTTCAAACCTATATAGTGTCGCCCTAATTTACAAACTTGTTTCACTTGAAATTAGAGTTCACGCGCAAGCGAGCTGGTGGAAGCCTATACTAAAAAGGCCCGAAACAAGAGAAACAAAAAATAAATAAATAAGAGCGGAATAAGCGCAACACAGTCTCAAATCATAGCTGAAAATGGTTACTTGGTAAGTGTAAATGTCCAGACATTGTATTAGTAAAATGTATATATATACATATATATATATATATATATATATATATATATATATATATATATATATATATATATATATATATATATATATATATATATATATATATATATATATATAAAGTCAAAAATGCGTACTGTCGGAGTTATTAATTCGAAGTTTATTCCGACGTTTCGAGCGGGGACCGTTCTTCATTAGGTGATGAAGAGTGGTCCCCGCTCGAAACGTCGTAGTAAACTTCGAATTAGTAACCCTGACAGTACGCATTTTTGCTTTTGTATATATATATATATATAGAGAGAGAGAGAGAGAGAGAGATAGGTAGATAGATATTTTTCACTATTTGCTGACGGCCGAAACTAACTATGCAACACAACAAGTAAAACCACAGAGCTGCCCGCCTCATATCACCCTCAGTTGGAGCTCGACTGACACATTGTGCCGATCAAGCATCACCAACAGCTCAACACCTAAACGCCACGGCGTTCACTATCTTTGTTTGGGTGATTCCACCCACTAATATAACAACTCATACAATGCGCCGTGATAAAGTGCTTTTTGTCTTTGTGTATGTGTTTTCGTGACATCTAACCTCTGTTTGCGCTCTGACTAAGAATGAAACCATGTATACTAAAACATCGATAGTGGTCTCTATTTTTAGCGACGCTCGCACACGTCTTGCCTTTGACGCAGTGGCATTCTCAACTCCCATACACGGACATTTGGACAAAATAGTTTGGTCGGCCTTCACTCATTAGCTGCGGAACGTTTTGACCGTGACGTATGTATAATTCAAAGAAGCACCGACAGGCGGGTGCCCCTTTGAAAACAAATCATGTTCGCGT